TATGTGCAACTGGAAGGCTCAGCACTTACACAGTCCTATAGAGGGCGAGCAACACCAGCACCAGAAGAATGAGGAACACCAGGGGAAGAATAGTATACAAAATGTCTTCAGTGTCTGGAAAGAGAGTGCAGGTCTTTAGCCATTTTGCGCTTATTGTCTAAGCAATGTCACATATGCTAAAAAGCACTCTATCTTTCGTATCCTAAATCTGTCTTTAAGTCGAATTTGTAGATAAGTCAGAACATTAATACAGTACATAATAATGATGCGGTAACAATAAAAATGAACTACATACAGTACTGTGCTGTACCTTGAGGCGATGAATTACAGAAGGCGTGTAATGTATTCACGAGCATCACAAAGCAGTGTGTGCGTTCGTTGCTATGAACCACTGTATTTAACTCAATTTTTTAATATAATAGGCTTTATGGTAGTTCATCTGTAAGTAGGAGTTGTCTGTAAGTTGGGCATTTTTAACCATGTATTGTATGTAACTAGAGGTAAAAATGAAACTGAAAGCTTAAAATATTTCAAATTTAGAGAAAGTTGCACTCAAACACACATTTAACAATTAACAGAACAATTGATAGAAAACTGTGTGAAGAAGGGAGAAACCTTATCTCACACTTGAACTGATAGCCCTCTGAAAAGGCCTATTAGTGCAATTACTGTACATTAAAGTGTGAACAGCAGGTTCCATTTGGACCTCATCAGCACCCACAGCAGAGGAGACACTTCATGTTCAGGAGCCCAGAAGGAATATGGAGGACATCATCACACATTAACAGCAGCTCAGCTGGGAATATACCGAGAAAGCCGTTTGTAAGGGTAGCTCAAAAAACAGATCTGGACTAACCGAAGAGCGGAGTAGTGAAGCTCTCACTGGTGAGCTGACTGGACCTGGTTCCTGCTCTCACTTTGAGGGAGTAGTCCGTGTTCGCTGTCAGATTTCTGATTGTAAATGTCTGGTTTGCGGAAGTGACTAAAAAATCTGAGTGATGAGGGAGTAGGAAACAAAACAAAGGGAAAGACATCAAACATAAAGGGTCTGCAATGCCAGTGAACAGTCGAATGGCGGTAGCTAGATTCACCAAATAACAAACGAGTAATCACACGTCAAATAGTGTTGAAGTTCGGTTCTGGTTGAAAGATCAAGGGAGCTAATCTAAGCAGCACATAATTTAAGTTAAACCACTGAAAAGTTCTGAGACTGTCATCATATTTTTAAGTTTCAAGTTTTATTGTCACCTGTTCTGAGGAACACAGTGAAATTCTTATGCTAAAGTTGCAGGGTAGGATTTTGGGGGATGGGACAAATAGCAGTGCAATACAAGACAAGACAGTACAGGACGAATAGCAGTGTAATACAGTACACGACAGTACAGGACAAACCGCAGTGCAATTCAGGACAAGACAGTGCGGTACAAGCCGCAGTGCAATTCAGGACAAGACAGTGCAGGACAAGCAGCAGTGCAATACAGGATGAGAGAGTGCAGGACAAACAGTGGTGCAGTACAAGACAGGACAGTGCAGGACAAACAGCAGTGCAATACAGGAAAAGACAGTACAGAACAAACTGCAATACAGGACAAGACAGTACAGAACAAACTGTAGTGTGATACAGGAGAAGACATTGCAGGACAAACAGCAGTGCAATACAGGACAGTACAGTGTATGACGGAACAGTATAAGGAAAGGTGAGTCTTACTTTGGGCACCATTTTTACTTGTTAAGGTCATGTTGTATTTCGGTAAGCTGTTGCCTTGGCCGGTCGGGTGTCCCTTAAGATTCACGGTGACACTGTTCTTCCTCACCTGCATGACGTGCCAACTGCCGGACCCCCCAATCACTGAGGGAATGCAGAGAGATCTGTTCACTCGGGAACAACTGGAGAACGGAGCCGGCTGATTTACGTGTGGACAGCAAACCTACCCCCGCTTTTCAGGGAGGCTGGGACTGATTTCGGAGGCCCACAGATGTCTCTGTATATGGGGTAGACGCTGATGTTGTATGTTGTACTGGGGTGGAGCTTCCCTGGAATGGGAAAGGCCTTCTTAAAAACACACTTCTCAGTAATATTAGCAAAATAACAGGTTCTCATGAATACGCTAATGAATGACGGAGAAAGTTATTTGTAATGTCTGTGTGCCCGAGAGAAGGTGAAAGCACAGCATTTAAACATAATTCATGACAGTGTATCACAGCATTTAAGCAAGTAAACATAAGCACATAGAAGTCTACACCAGTGTTTCATAACCCAGTTTACTGGGACCCCCAAAAGACTTGGCTGAGAAACACTAGTCTATAGGCTGATGTGTTATTCGGTGAGTGTGTTTGCCGGGAGTTACCCTGCAGCACTGCGCTGGAGAAGTTGGGCTGAACTCGCAGCCACTGGCTGCTGCTGGCATCTTGATTGGCCGCCCACTCGACGGCGAACTCGCTGACGGCTCGCTCTGTCTTTCCCATGTCCCACTCAACAAGGATTGTGCTGCCTTGAGTGGTGGCCCAGATGCCCAGCACAGGTGGAACATCTGAAATGATGTCATTGTCTGGGGATGGGGGGGGAGGGGGGGGTCACAATGGACCAGGGAAGCTGATAAGACACACAAAGCGGAGTGTTTTGTGACACCTACTGGTCAGAGAATGCAATGGCCCATAAGCTTTCAGTAAGCGGCTCATTTTTAAAACTCCTAAGCTCACTGCCCTACTACCCTTTTCTCATCTAGGGCTTCAACATTGTTAAAGAACACTGGGCTGTCTGGGGCGAGCAGGAGTAAAAATATGTCTAAAAAGCACAAACCGCGAGGAGGACTGACCTGCAGAGGGCACCAGCAGCCGGCTGATGGGAGACACCCCTGCACTGTTGTATGCTGTGACGATGACGTCATATTCTCCCTCCCTTGCGTCAAAGCTGATCTTCAGGTCTGTGGTCTTAACCGTAACACTCTTAGATTGGTTCGTATAATTAACACAATAGCCCAGAATAGATCCATGTCTGTCCTCCAAGGCCTAAAACAAATATATGATCTATCATCATCCAGCGTCAGAGAAGAGAAAGATGGGACCGTTACCACGGAGACCATGCTGACGTCACCTTCCACATCAGCCAAACTTTACGGAGTCTGTCAGTCCGCCCAGTGTCCACGCGCTGACAGACATTCACAGAGCTTCTGGGGGCTGATGGAAGAAATTATTACAAGAATATCAGTCTCCAGCCTGTAAGTTTCAAGAACTGTTAAATACTAAGGCAAGCTGTTTTAACATTAAATAAATAGGTGGGACAGTAATTTTAGATATCTGCATTGCAATTCTTACTAGTAGAAACTGGTATTTCAGATGTCTGTAATTCAAATACCAGTAGAAATAAGCATTTGAAACATCCATAATTCCGTTCTTACTAGTAGGAATGACGTCACTTTTCCCGTTCATCTGTATTGCGGTTTTCATTTGAGAGGGCAACAATTCCATTTTAGATACTTCAAATGTGAATTCTAGATATCTGAAATTACTTTCTTGCTAGCAATGATTCTCTTTTTAGATGTCTGCAATTTAATTATGACTTGTCACAATTTCTGTTTTAGATTAACAAAATGCAAAACAGTTTGCATTATAATTATAGATAGCTAAAACTACATTAGTACTAGTAAGAACACAATTTTAGATATCTCAAATGCCCAATTGTACGATTTGTAAGAATTCAATTGTGGATATCTACAATTCAAATTATTAGCAGTAAAAATACAATTGCAGATGCCTACAAATGAATTGTGGATATCAGCTGAAAGTGGGATAAGGCGCTGTGAGAATATCAGCAGCAGCAAAGTTAATTTGAGACTGGTTAATTTGAGACATTGTGACTACATTTTATACACTGTGCCATCTACAACTGAGTTCTTACTAATACTCATGTAGTTTTAAATATTTATAATTACATTACAGATTTCACAAACTGTTTTGCATTTTGGATATCTAAAATAGATATTCTGATGGGTAATACCTGAATTGCAGACATCTAAAAAGAGAATTGTTACGAGTAAGGACGTAATTTCAGATATCTAGACTTCGTACTTGTGATATCTAAAACGGAATTGTTGCGCTCTGTATGCAGACTGACCGCAGCCAATCCCTGATGGTGAACTTTATGTCACCTACCCTCTTCCTCATCCGAAAGCGCACACGGAAAAGTGAAGTATGAATTGGTCTTCAAATGAAACCCGCAATACTCATGAATGTGAAAAGCTGCGTCATTCATACTAGTAAGAACTAAATTACGACTGTCTCAAATGCTCATTTCTATGGACGCCATAGCACTCAAAATAAAATAAATACTTCATAATAAATATTGTCAAATACAGTTTTTACTAATAAGAATAGACTTTTGGATATCTCTAATTTTCATTATGACTACTACAAATATAGTTCTTACTAGAAGAAATAGAATCCTGGATATCTAAAATACGATTACAGATAGCAAAGGGCTGCGTTTAAACGTTAAAAGAGCTTGCCATAAAATACATGCCTTCAGTGTGCTTGCCTCCCAACAGTGGCTCTGTGATTCCCTGTTACTCTCTTTTAAACCATCACCTCAGAATCGGAACCAGAATCTCATTTATCCGCCAGTACTGGAGTTAACACATTTGGAAACTGCACATTTGGAAGCTGCTCAACACGACAAGTCACACAAGTGCATTAACAAATGGGACATTAACATAAGGGAACATTACATAAAAGAGTATCAGCAGAAGTCACTACTGTTTCCAAGCCACTATGAGTTTTGATCTGACAACGTCATGATGTATTAGCAGCGACTGCAGCATTTACCAAGAACTCAGTACCTCATGTTGTGGGACTTCACTATTTTGTGATGTGGAGTTTATTATTGCAGTTTGTACTATGACTGATGTAAAGAAAAGGTAGCAGAGCTTCCCAGCAAAAAAAGAAACAAAATACACCATTTTTTCCCAGAAAGAAAGGAGAGAAAAAATCCATGATAAAATCTGTTGCAACATGTTCAAAGAATTGCAATAAAAGCAGAAGTCACGCTAACCTCCATTAGCATGCTGTTGTTAGTGGTCTAATTCTCATGTCATATGTTTCAGCGTGCCATGAAAGTACGTTTATCTTCTTATGATATTATTTCACGTATTGCAAATTAATCTCTTTGTCTTGCACTCATTTCATTTGAATAATTTTACATTTAGAAATGCTTTTTTGACCCTGTTTTTCCAGTCGAAGTTTCAGTCCATCAAATCCGGTACATTCTAAATCCAAACCGAAAGCACAACAAGAAAGGTATGAACACAGGCAGTCCTTGCGTGTCCACTAAGCACACCTACCAATCCCTAGGGTCTTCGCTGAGTGATTGTCACTTGGGGGGCCCCAAAGTTTGCTACTGATTAATGCGCAGGCAACTTTGACGCAATATTCAGTAAATGGCTGCAGGCCATTAATGTCTTGTGAACAAATTGTTCTGCATCCAGGATGGAGAACCTGGGAAGAGAAACTCCTACCATTACTGCGCATTTTGCATGTATTTGAACCAAATATGACACTCCAAATATAGCATGCTGTTAAAGGCGCTCTGTTCAAACACACTGCTTATGTAATGTACCTCTTTCCAGTGGTCACTGCTGATTGGCCTGTAGTACACCATACACTGCACTGAGTAATGCTGAGGATTCCACTTCACGGAGATAGAGTCATTTGTTATAGACGTAATTGATATGTTCACCGGCTTGGGTGTCATGGCTGGAAAAAGGCAGCAAGCACAATAATTCAATAAAACTTCAATAAAAATGTCATAAATAGTGAAAAAATGTTAGAAACTGCAAATGTCGTAAATCAATATCTACATGCTATATGGGTGAAATGAAACAATGATACAGCTACATTGGAATGCTTCTTTTTGCATTTCCTATCTTACTCTCCTCTCTCCTTTGAGACACACATGCATGCACACACACACGCATGCACACGCACACGCACATGTAGGGTAAACATATCCTTATAGGGACTGCTCATTCATTTCAATGCACACACACACACCCTGCCTTTGCATTTTTCGTTTTTTTTTATAAAATAGAGTT